AATTAAATGATATAAGCTCATTTGTTTATTTAAAAAAATATATTTACACTTATTTTCAACAAGTATCTTAACAGTACTTAGAAATTCTTCCAGTATCTTCAAGGTGAGCCATTACTTCTGATTCACTTTTGGTCAAATAAGGATGGTGAATGTGTGGAAACACTTAAGTTAGTACCCATGTAGCTGATTCAACTCAAGAATGCATAAAAGCTTATTAATTTTGGATAAATTATGTACGCTATTTTTCACGAACCTAACACTTTAATAAGCTGTTTAAAAAAACCTCATACAATGGTGACCTTTCTTGAATATAGTTCTCTTAAATCCTAAGAGGAAACAGTATTACTCTTTGGCCGTAATACCAGCACACCTTATTTTATTGTGCTTCACTTTATTGTACTTTGCAAATAAAGAGTTTTTTACAAATTGCAAGTTTGTGGTGATCCCCAGTCAAGCAATTCTATTGGTACCATTTTCCAACAGCATGTGCTCACTATGAGATATGGTTTGGCTGTGTCCCCACCCAAATCTCATCTGGAATTGTAGTGCCCACAATTCCCACATGTTGTGGGAGGTGCCCGGTGGGAAGTAATTGAATCATGGGGGCAGGTCTTTCTTGTACTGTTCTCATGATAGTGAGGGCAGGTCTTTCTTGTACTGTTCTCATGATAGTGAGTAAGTCTCACAAGATCTGATGGCAAACTTAATAGATAAATGCTGTTGTGTGTGGTCTAACTGCTCCACCAACCAGTATTCCCCCGTTTCTCTCCATCTCCTTGGGCCTCCCTATTCCCTGAGACACAACACTATTAGGCCAATTAATAACCCTATAATACCCTCTAAGTGTTCCCTATAATTAATAACCCTGTAATACCCTCTAGGTGAAAGGAAGAGTCGCAAGTCTCTCACTTTCAGGAGTGTCCGAGGGAGAGAATATAGGCATGGATTCTTAGTTTGTTTCTGGTTGGGTCAGTAAAGCCCCTTCCTTATCCCTCTTTTCTGCTTATTACTAAAGACAGAAACTAAAAGCCATGGCTTCAGGCTGCTAAAAGCCTAAGACAAAACAAAACAGAACAACAACAACAATAAAATAAAGTGGGTTGGAGAAGCTTGCAACCAAAAGCTAGAAATAATTAAGCTTAGTGAGGAAGGCATGTCAAAAGCTGAGGCAAGCTGAAAGCTAGGCCTCTTGTGCCAAACAGCCAAGGTGGGAATGCAAAGGAAAAGTTATTGAAGGAAATGAGAAGTGCTACTCCAGTGAACAACATGAATGATGTGAAGGTGATATAGTCTTACTGCTCATATGGAGAAAGGTTTAATAGTCTGGATAGAGGATCAAACCAGCCACAACATTCCCTAAAGCCAAAGCCTAATCCAGAGCAAGGCCTCCACTCTTTTCAATTCTACGAAGGTTGAGAAAGGTGAGGAAGCTGCAGGAGAAAAGTCTGACATTACCAGAGGTTGATTCATGAGGTTTAAGGAAAGAAGCCATCTCCATAACATACAAATGTAAGGTGAAGCAGCAAGTGCTAATGTAGAAGCTGCAGCAAGTTATCCAGAAGATCTAGCTAAGATCTTCATTGCTGAAGGTGGCTACACTAGACAACAGATTTTCAATACAGATGAAACAGCTTTATATCAGCAGAAGATGGCATCCAGGACTTTCATAGTTAGAGAGAAGTCAATGCCTGGCTTCAAAGCTTCAAAAGACAGGCTGATTCTCTTATTAGGGGCTAAATGTAGCTGGTGGCTTAAAGTTGAAGCCAGTGCTCATTTATTATTCTGAAAATCCTAGGACCTTTAAGAACTATCCTAAATCTACTCTGCCTGTGCCCTATAAATGGAACAAAGCCTAGATGACAGCAACATCTGTTCACACCATGGTTTACTAAGTATTTTAAGCTTACTATTGAGAAGTACTGCTCAGAAAAAAGGATTCCTTTCAAAATATTACTGCTCATTGACAATGCACCTGGTCACCCAAGAGATCTGATGGAGACGGACAGATTCATGCCCTCATACCTGCTAACAAAATATCCATTCTGCAGCCCATGGATCAAGGAGTAATTTTGACTTTCAGGTCTTATTTAAGAAATACTTTCTGGCCAGACACAATGGCTCACGCCTGTAATCCTAGCACTTTGGGAAGCTGAAGCAGGTGGATCACTTGGAGACAGGAGTCCAAGACCAGCCTGGCCAACATGGTGAAACCCCATCTCTACTAAAAATACAAAAATTAGCTGGGTGTGGTGGCGTGTGCCCATAGTCCCAGCTACTTGGGATGTTGAAGCACGAGAATCACTTGAACCTGGGAGGCGGAGGTTGCAGCAAGCTATTACGACACTGCCCTCCAGCCTGGGTGACAGAGCGAGATTCTGTCTCAAAAAAAAAAAAAAAAACAACAACAACAACAAAAGAAATACTTTCATAAGGCTATAGCTGCCACAGACAGTGGTTCCTCTGATGGATCCGGACAAAGTAAATGAAAACCTTCTGGAAATGATTCATTATTCTGGATACCATGAACATTCATGATTCATGGGACGAGGTCAAAACACCAACATTATAAGGAGTTTGGAAGAAGCTGATTTAAACCCTCATGGATGACTTTGAGGGGTTCAAGATTTAAGGGGAGGAAGTCACTGCAGATGTGGTAGAAATGGCAAAAAAAGTAGAATTAGAAGTGGAACCTGAAGGTGTGACTGAATTGTTGCAATCTCATGATAAAACTTCAACAGATGAGGAGCTGCTTTTTATGAATGAGCAAAGAAAGTGGTTTCCTGAGATGGAATCTACTTCCGGTGAGGATACAATATTGTGACACTGGTGAAGGGACAATAAAGGATTCAGAATATTCAAAAAATGTAGTTGATAAAGCAGCAGCAGGGTTTGAGAGGACTGACTCCAATTTTAACTTTTTTTTTTGAGACAGAGTCTCATTCTGTCACCTGGGGTTGGAGTGCAGTGGCATGATCTTACCTCACTGCACCCTCTGACTCCCAGGTTCAAGGATACTTTTGCCTCAGCCTCCCAAGTAGCTGGGATTACAGGTGTGTGCTGCCACTCCCAGCCAATTTTTGTATTTTTAGTAGAGATGGGGTTTCATGATGATAGCCAGGCTGGTCTTGAACTCCTGACCTCAAGTGATCCACCCACCTCAGCCTCCCAAAGTACTGGGATTACAGGCATGAGCCACTGTGTCCGGCCTAGGATTGACTCCAATTTTGAAAGAAGTTCTATGGGTAAAAATGCCACCAAATAGCATCATGTGCTACAGAGAAAACTTTTGTGAATGAAGAGTCAACGGATGTGGCAAACTTCATTGTTGTCGTATTTTAAGAAATTGCCACGGCCACCCCAACCTTCAGTAACCACCACCCTGATTAGTCATCAACACCCTGATACATCAACATCGAGGCAAGACCCTCCACCAGCAAAAAGATGATGACTTGCTGATGGTTCAGATAACTGTTAGCATTTTTTAGGAATGAAGTATTTTTCACTTAAGGTACTTTTTTTTTTTTAAGGCATAATACTATTACACACTTAACAGACTACAGTACAGTGTAAACAAAACTTTCCTATGCACTGGATAATCAAAAAATTCATATGACTTGATTTAATGCAATATTTGCTTTACTGCAGTGCTGTGGAACTGAACACCCAACAGCTCTAAAGTATGCCTATAAAATCTCCCTCAAATATTTCAGAAGTAAAGGATACATTTGGCTTTCTTTTGGGAATTAATGTTATTTGCTCAAATCTGTCACTATTATTATAGCAACAATGTATAATTTTAACCTTAATTTTAACCTTAAAGATGCTAACGTCTTCATGAATTTTTTAATAACTTTTCTGAAAATGTTATATATTATGGATTAGACTAATATAACACACAATTACTTTTCAAATACCAAAATATTAGATTTACACACATAATACACATTTACTTTCAAACATCCAAATCCAACCATTGTAAGTTTAGGTCTATACTTAAGCTCTTGAATGGGATTAGATCAACAGAAGCATGAAGATGAAAGGAAAAATAATCATTACCAACGATAATTTTAAAAACCTGTTTACTTTTTAAGGATAACTTTGAAAAGATACATGCAATAAAATTGCTTTCCAAGTGTATATAAAGTAAAGAATTAAAGCTGTTGTAAAAATTAGAACAAAATTGACGCAGCGTTTCCTTTCCTGATTTCTGGAGAAAAGAATGAAATTCCAATAGAAAGCAGAATCTTTAGTTCACATTTTCCCCCCAATAATACAACTGTTATATAAAATAAGCATTTAAAAATAATTTTTTATTTTTTATTTCAATAAGAAAGCAAAATCTAATAAAATAGCATTTCATATGATAAAATTATAGTTTTCCTAAATAAAACAATCCTAATATACTTAAAAACACTCAGAAAATATGCAGTCATAGATAAAAGTTATATAAAAAGGCCAAAAAAGTCTAAGCAATACATTGGTTTTATTAAATCTAAAATAAAAAATAAATAATCTAAAATAAAAAATAAATCCTGATAGAACTCATCAAATTTGTTTTAATAAACAAAAATCTAAAAAAGTGACAGCAAGAGCTTTGATATCTAAATATTTAAGAAAGTGAACATGACTATTATATGAAAGAGAAAAATGAAAATACTTTTAGGTTTACATATTATTCCTCCAAGATACAAAATGTTTTAAATGGCTGTCACCATTCAAATGCTGTAAGACGTGGAGTATGAGCTTTTCCATATAATTAGATAAAAATAAAACAGACATATGATTCCAAAAAAGGAGTATTCTGTAATATACAATTTCATAAGGTCCAAGTAAGCTTCATGAATACATATTCATGAGATTTACTTCTCTGTTCTTTACAAGTTGAAATAGAAATATTTTTACAAATATATTTTCCTATTATTTTTCTTTTAGTATTCACATAAAATATTGTAGAGCAAAACACCAAAGGTTAATGTTGCACAAACTAATACAACTAATACCTGTATTGTGTTCTTCCTACGATTGACTTTCCTTCCCTCCATTGAGCAGTCTCATCGCTGGGATCAAGTAAGCCTTCAAAAATGTGCTCCCAGAGATACAAGCCTGGTAATTAACAACAAAAACAAAATCAAAACAATTTACTGTCTCATCTACTCTGGTGCATGAGACATGTTTATGTTCTATTCTTTTACTCATTTGACTGTAAAACCAGAATGCCTCCCCTTAGGACCGCTGGCAGGCAGTGCTACCAAGCAACAGCTCCAAATCAACATGGCAGCTAATGAGAGACAGAGCTCAGAAGCTGTCAGTGTGTAAAATGTGGCAAAATGTGAGTTAATATTAAAGACCTCTCCTACTCTAGATTTGAGAAACCCCTAATTTATATAGATCTTTACACCTGTCTTATTCTGAAATGAAATGTATTATATTACAAAGTAAACTATACTATGTGGTTAGAACTATTTTTATAACAAATTAGGGGGAGTTGCCATTTTGTGCCAAATGGAGCCAGAGGAGCTCATGTATTTACATATATTAATACATTCAATATGTCAAGGGGACATTACCTCCTCCTCACTTGAACACATATCCCTGAATGCATGATCCCCTTCACAGACAAATGCCACTGCATCTTTTCTCCTTATGGCAGCCCCTGATGTTTTATCATGATTTCACCTGAATGAAAGCTCTGAGAGTAGAGAAGAGTAGTGTTACTCAATGAGGTACTACGGAGACCATACACCACTTCTGGGCACCCTGTTTTGGTTACACTCAAAGAGGTTTTTGTTTCATTCTCATTGTACCCTGGTACTAAAAGAAACCCAAGCCACCATGTTTAAAACGTGGACAATTAGATAAAGCTTTCCAAATGTGATGGGTTGAATAATGTCTCCCTGCCCCACCAGCAAAGATGTCCATATTCTAATCTCTAGAATCTAGGAATATGTTACCTTACATGGCAAAAGACACTTTAAAAATACAATTGAGTTAAGGATGCTAAGGTGAAGAGATTATTATAGATTATCTAGGTGGGCCCTATGTAATCTCAAGAGTCCTCACACAAGGGAGGCAGGAGGGTCAGAGTGAGGCAAGGGATATATAAAGATGGAAGCAGAGGTCAGAGTGATGTGGGGCCATAAATGAAGGAATGCGGGTAGCCCCTAGAAACTCTCAAAGGTAAGGAAACAGGTTCTCCTCTAGAGCCTCCAAAAGTAACACAGCCCTCACACATTTTAGAGTTCTGCCTTCAGAAAAGTAAGATACTAAATTTGTGGTAATTTGTTACGGTTGCAATAGGATGCTATGGATTATACAGTTAAGATTATGGTACCTGGAAATGGGGTGCTACTGTAACAAATACCTAAAAATGTGGAAGTGGCTCTGAAATTGGGTAATGGGTAAAGGCTGAGAGAATTGTGAGGACATGATTTTAAAAAGCCTAGATTAGATTGCCTTGAATAACCTGCAGACAGAAATATGGATGTTAATGACTCAGCTAGTGAAGACTCAAAGTGAGGCAGAGTAGAGAAAACCTGTATTGTCTTAGAGGATATCTAAATCATCATAAGCAGATTGTTGGTAAGAATATGCAATTTTAAAAAATTTTTTATTTATTTATTTATTTATTTATTTAGAGACAGAGTCTCACTCTGTAGCCCAGGCTGGAATAAGGTGGCATGATCTTGGCTCACTGCAACCTCCACCTCCCGGGTTCAAGCAATTCTCCTGCCTCAGCTTCCTTAGTAGCTGGGATTACAGGCATGTGCCACAATGTCTGGCTAATTTTTGTATTTTTGGTAGAGATGGGGTTTCACCATGATGGCCAGGCTGGTCTTGAACTCCTGGCCTCAAGTGATCCACCTGCCTCAGCCTCCCAAAGCGCTCGATTACAGGCATGAGACATCACTCCTAGAATATGTATATTATTTAAATAAATTGTTGGTGAGAGCTCAGAATAAAATCAGGAAAGTGTTATTAGAAACTGGAAGGATGAGGATCCTTGTTACATAACAGTAAAAAGCTTAGTTGGATTGTATCCTGCAGTTACGTGGAAAGCAGAACTTGTGATAAACTTCAATAATTAGCTGGAGGGTTCCAAGCAAAGTGAAAGGTGTGGACTGGTTTCTTCTTGGTGATTAATGAAATATAAGAAGAAAGAGATAGAAGGAAAAACTGATAAGCAAAAGGGAACCAGAATTTGATGATTTGGGAAATTCTCAGACCATTAAGATTGCAAAAGAGGTGAAAAATTAGATTTACTGTCTGCAAAGGGTGTTCCAGAAAGAAGACCAAGGATGTGGCTGCACAACCTTTTGCTAGTGTCTCAGAAGGAACAGAAGATCTGAATATTCATTCACACAAAGGGCTCTTTGAAGAGATTACACATGTGACTTACAGGTCTCCTCAGCTATCTCAGCAGAAGCCAGAAATGGAGATGGGATTACTCAGAAAAGATCTGCAGAGGAGCTTCCCATCTAATGGAGTGAATCCTGTGACATACACAGGAGGCCCACAAGGTTCTTCAGAATGTTATATGAGCAGAAACACTGCCAGCTTGGACTAAAAAAGACAGAAAGAGGTCACAATGAAAGAAGGCTGATGGGCTCTGAAAATTTTACCAGCTGTCAACAGGCTGATAAAGTTACTACGCTGCAAACTTGTGTTACTTTTTATGAAAAAGGAAAAGATGACTTCAAGAGTATGGCTGAAATGCCAGAGGGCAAAGTTGTACAAGTCATAGATTATTCCTAGACCTGTAATATAATCAAATGGAGCTGACCATTCAGATGAAATTTAGATTTCAAAATTGCTTGGACCAGTGACACTTTTTCACTTCAATTTTTTTCCCTTTTTGAATGGGAATGTCTATAACGGTATTTCATAACTGTGCCTAGAGAATAGGTTGATGAAAGTAGCATTTTTCCTGCCAGCAGAGGTGATAACAAAAAAAAAAAAAAAAAAAAAGGTAGCATTTGATGAAATTCACTTGGCCACTTTGCGCTTATCAGATTGAAAAGAGAGAAGTCTGGAAATGAAAATCTGGGATTTAAAAGAAGAAATCAGTATTAGGGACTTTATTTAAAAAATAATGGTCAGAACTTGATGACTGAAGACCTGGTTTCAAGTACTTGAAATTTAGAGACTGGTAGTATCTTCCAGGATGTATACTTGTATGTAAGTATGAACGAATTTATGAAATACTGTGAGCAGAGGACTATCCTCTGTACATTTTCCTTTCACCTGGTACTTTCTATCCATATCCTTTATTGTACATAAACCCAGCTCATGTTCAAAGGCCAAATAAAGTGCGAAGTCACTAAATTCTTTGTGACTGTTTGAACCCTCACAGCCCCATTCTCTAATTGAGCATAATATATATCTTAGAACACTACACTCTCATGATATTCATAGCAAAAACGCCTCTGTGTGCAATCAAGTTTAATCAACTACATACTATAATATATTCCTTTGCTGATACAATGAACACTGTCATATTAAAGGCTCTTGAGAAAGGCCTGCAATGAAGAACCTTAACTTTGTACTCTTCAGTGTTTCCCAAATGTGTTTGGCCCTCAAGGCCAGGGGCCACATCTTATATTTGTGTATCAAGTGTCCAAAAAATACACAGATTCATGAAAATTCAGTTGACATATGTTTTGCAATCTAATGACACTATACAGCCTACTCAATGTATCGATAAATGAAGCTGTGCTCTGCTAAAGACCAACAGTGGAACACGTATGTGTGTACATTTACAAACAGATGTTGTCTAATTGGAAGGAGAAAGGAATTACTGACAAAAAGTGAAAAAATATATCATGATGCCTTAATTAACAAGTTATGAAATAAATTATATTAAAATGAATTTCATATCAATAAAGTACATTTTACAATGCTTTTTACGTGTCTTCCTTCTACATATTAACTTACCAATGGCAGCTTTGCCCCAGATTTGTACACTGAGGTCTGTTTTTCCTTTCGTGGATTTATTTAATACTTGAAGGCTAGTTTTAAATCTGTATTGTTGCTCATTTTTTTCATCTCCTTCCCAAGGATTCCATTCTTCACTTTCCAAAGTGAACTGTTCTGTTTTAAAAAGAGTAACAGTGTTTACCAGTTAGGTGTTATTGCAGCTGTAGGTAAATTCAAATCATTTAAATTAAGTGTTAGTTCTAATTTCATCCTAACTTTAATTTTTGAGAGATAGAGCAACTGAATTTAAACTGGTTATACACAATGATAACAAAAAAGAAACTATCGGCAATTTTTTTAACTGAACTTTTTTTACTTTGAAAGGTCTTAGAAATAAAATGCTAACTTGAAACAGGAAAATTGTCTTCCCCAAAACAAAACCTTTAAAAATAACAGGATAATATGTATCAAGTTACAGGTTTAACTTCTGCAATTCTTTTTATCTATTGTATACAGGTAACCTATGCACAAAAAACTGACTTCAGAGTGTAGTGTTCACCAGTCTTAGATACTATCGTGCAAAATTCTGAATAAAGGAAGAGAGAAAGCTGAGTCTGATCTTAACACAAATTAAAACACCGGACAGGGGACCAGAATTTGGAGGTAAAGCCTGCCTTACGGTCACTGCAGGATTAGAGGGCTTTGTTTCAACATGGAAACGGATGTCTTAAACCTTGCGGCGATTTTGAGGCCTTCCAGGAGCACTCCCGCAAATCTCTGGCATTTGAGACGACGTCGTGCATTTTAACACGTGTTTGAAAGGCGTTCGCGCCTGTCACCCCCTCGGATGGGGAGCGGGGACAGCGTGTGAGATCTGGGTAAGAATTAACGGCCAGTCTCCAATCCCGAGCCAAGGGCTAGCTCGAGGGGCTGTAGGAGGCAAAGCGCGACTCAGGCCCCGCGGGTAACCCCGGACTTGAGAGCGGGGTGCGGGAGCCCGGCCCCTGCCGCTCAGCAGCCCCTAGCCCGGCGCGCAGAGGCGGAGGGAAGCTGCAGCCCCAGTCCTACCTCGGCCGCGTCTCTCCCGCGCGGGGGCCACCGCCCCCTTCCTGAGGCCCCGCGGGGACCCCGCCGGCGCCTGGCGGCGGCGCCCGAAGAAGACGTGGTAGGCAGCGTAGAGGGAGAATAGGCAGTACAGGGCGATGAGAAATGAGCAGAGCCGCTTCCGCGTCAGCCGCATCCCACTCGGGCTTCCAGTCAGGCAGCCACCGCCATGGAGCCGGCGGAAACAGAAGCCGGGGCCCGAGCGGCGTCCAGCGCAGGCCCAGGCACTTTCCAGGCCGTCCCCATCAAAGGCTCTTCCGCCCAGCGCCCGGTACAGCCCCGCCCCGGGCACGCCCACCTCCCGCCTCCCGCACAGGCCCCGCCCCCTCCAGTCCCGCCTCATCCGCCGGGCCCAGGGCCTGCCTGCCCACCGCCGACCCCGGAATAGGGGGTCCAGGAGCGGCCACTACCCCAAGTGCTTCCAGACGCCGGGCTGGGTGGGAGCCTCTCTGACCTCTGCCGTTTACCCATTACACCTTTCAACCCTGCCACTTCTCCCAAGTACATAAAGACTCGGGGGAAAAAGAGCACCCGTGGTGGTCCATGAAGGCCATGTGAAGGCATGGACCGTGATGTTTTTTGCTCTACATGGAATCCCTAGCGCCTGGGACAGTGCCTACTACATTGATGGATGAGTGGATATAAACGTCCTTTAAAAAAATTGATGATGGTCGCTCAACATTGTGAATGCAATTAATACCACTCACTTGTATGCATAGAAATAGTTAAAATGTCGAATTCGTGTTTTATATACCTTACTGCAATAAAAATATTTTTAAAGTTCAATTTTATTATTATGATGTGAGTTGAACGCACATAGGCATACAGTATTTTGTCAAATAGAGGCTGTAAATGTGAATGCTTCAATAAACCTTTTGTCCAGCCTTGGTAATATGGGCTACAATGTTCTGTCGGTTGCATCTGGTACTACTGCTCAAATTATCCCGCAGTCTTGCGACGGTGTGTCCGCTAATTAGGGTGACCAGCGGTCCCAGTTTGCCCAGGACTGTAAAGATTCTCCAGTTGGAGGATTTTTAGTGCTAAAATTGGGAAAGTCCTAGGAAATCAGTAAAAGTTGGTCACTCTAGCATCGACTCTAAACAATTAGGTCAAACACTTTACCCAATCCCCCAAACAGTTCCCTGCCTCCAAAGACCTGTTTTACACCATTTTTGCTCGGACTCCCTAAGTCCTATAAATATCACCCCAAACCTTCTCCTTCTGAGACTGCCAAGCTTCTGTCAAAGTGTGGCCTCCCTTACTGTAGTAGATTTAGAAAATTTAGCTTTCCTTGATTAACAGGCTATTCTGGTGTCTTAGAGAGATGGCAGTTGTTTTATGTACGCTGTATTGTTGGTTATCCTATTTTGTTGTGGAAATGACAATTATTTAAGGATAGGAAGTAATTACCTTATAATTACTAAAAAACACCCACTGTATCCATGTACATGCAGATGCTACTGACTAATAGTTTTACTATTGAGAAATGCATACAAGGTAAAACTAGTATGCGGCTGATGTCATCTTGAATAGGGGAGAGGGCCATGAAAATGAAGGTGTTGTTTTACCTCAAACTGCAAATGACTGCATAATTTGATTATAAACTTTTAAAAATGTATTTAGGTTACAAAGGAATCTTCTAATTGATCTAAGTCTGGCAGAGTTCATTTTCCTTTCTCTTGGTGTTTAATGATTGAGCTACAGCTGGGAGCTACTTTCTGTATATGCTCTCATCTCTTCAGGTGGATGGAAAGAGAGGGAAAGAGACGTGGTGGGGAATGCAGCAGTGTGGAGGGGGAGACAAGGTTAAATATCCTCTTGGGGTTGAAGCTCCACATAGAGGGAACCAGACCTGAGAAGGAAAGATGTGGGAGGAAGGATAGAAATAAAGGAATATGAGATGAATTAAACTAAAGCAGGGCTAAAATCTTTACTTGGTGATATTTTCTACTCTGTCTGCAAAGGGAAGAACTATTAATCAACACGATATTGAGAAAATAGCCATAATAATACACGCTTATTCTTAGAAGTCTCCAATCCAAATTTCTTGTGATACCTGGTCAGAATTCTCTTCTTAGTTTATCAAGTCTCCAGTAATACTCAAGAAGTGTGTTAACTACTTTGAGAGATTTTTCACATCTTGGCCAAGCTTCTGTGTCAAACACTTTGTAAGATATTTCTAGCAGGGCTTGACCATGTAAGTTATAAACTAGCTATCTCAAATTTGTAAGAATCAGTCCTAAGAAGATACATTTTTCTTTTTCATGTGAGTGCAGTGCTCAAAAAATAAGCAATAAAACTCTACAGAAATATATTGGCATTGGGAAATAGTAAGCAAATTATAACACCTTCTTTAAACAATCAATTAAACAAAATACTGATAACCAACCAAACAAAACTAGGGTGAAGGTTAAAGACAGAACAACCCTGAGGTGAAATTGAAGCAGATGAGCAGAAACAGAGTCTGTGCAAACATCACTTCTTCTGTAAATCTTTCCCTCACCTATTTCCGTTTCCCCACACCCTCTGAACCCTATGCACAGTTTCATCATTGGTGTAAAATTTCATCACCAGTTTTGTTTATGCATTCCATGTGATCCACCAGCCTTAACTAGTGTGATAGTTGTCTATGGACTCTGCTCTACTAAAAGCCCTTATGAGTGGGTACCACCATGGTGATAGCCTCAGAGAGTGATTCAAGACAGTTTGAACCCATGTGACTCCATCTCTCATTTACCACTGACTTCATTTGCATATGCTGTTTTTCTAATGATATTATCATCAACTTGGGGTAGGAGGCTACTGAAAGGCCCCAGGAGTGATATAAATGTGTTTCAACCTCTTAAAAATTAAAAAAAAAAATTGTGAGTATATATTTATGGGTTACATGAGATTATTTTGACACAGGCATGCAATGTGTTATGATCACATCAGAGTAAATAGAGCATACATCCACTGAAACATTCATCCTTTGTATTACAAACAATGCAATTATACTCTTTTAGTTATTTTAAAATGTACAATTAAATTTTTTTCACTGTAGTCACCCTGTTGTGCTAGCAAAAACTAGGTCTTATTCATTCTTTCCTACTATTTTTTGTATGCATTAACCATCCCCACTCCCCTGCCCTACCTGCCCACACTACTTTTCACAGCCTCTGGTAGCCATCCTTCTACTTTCTATCTCCATGAGTTCAATTGTTTTGTTTATTTATTATTTTAAAGTAGAGACAGGCTCTCATTATGTTGCCCAGGCGGGTCTCAAGATGCTGAGCTCAACTGATCAGCTTGCCTTGGCCTTTCAAAGTGCTGGGATTACAGGCGTGAGCCAATGTGCCTGGCCTCAGTTGCTTTAATTTGCAGCTCCCACAAATAAGTGAGAGCATGCAAAGTTGGTCTTTCTGTACTTGGCTTACTTTACTTAACATAATGACCTTCATTTTTATCCATGTTGTTGCAAAATGCAAGTTCTTATTCTTTTTTAGGGCGGAATAGCACTCTGTGGTGCATATGTACCACATTTTCTTTATCCATTCATCTGTTGATGAACATTTAGGTTGCTTCCAAATCTTGGCTACTGTGAATAGTGTTGCAATAAACATGGGAGTGCAGATAGCTCTTCAATATTTTCCTTTCTTTTGAGTATATACCTAGGAGTGGGATTGCTGACTATCGTGGTAGCTCTATTTTTAATTTTTTGAGGAACCTCCGAACTGTTCTCCATAGTGGTTGTACTAATTTACATTTCCACCAACAGTGTACAAGGGTTCCCTTTTCTCCACATCTTCTCCAGCATTTGTTATTGCCCTTTCAACCTCTTTCAGTCTCATTTAGTGAAGTCTTTCTGTGCTTTTTGCTCACTTCATTTTTTATGGCTGCAAGAATGTAAATATTTGATGTATTCTGTCTCCTAATTTTGACTTTTCATTACAAGGCTTTGATGGCTTATACATATTCCTGTGAATCCATCAACTTCATGCATTCATATTTCTATTAACTCACACAGATAGATTTATTCTTTTCCAACAGAATAGACACATCTGATTAATAATGCACCTTCAATAATCTGAGATTTATCTTTATAAACTCTGCTATGTTTATCTTATATCAAGATTATTGCTAGCTGTCTCAAATAGGTTGGATAGCATTTCAGTCCTTGAACAGTTTGTATAGCATGGAAAATACTAAGTCTGTGAAAGTCTGCCTGCACTTTTCAGTAATATTCATTGGCCCTAGAACTATTTTTGGAGATAGTTCTTTAATAACACTCGTTTGGTTTATTCTTACTTGTAATATTAATACTTCTTAAGTCTGTTTCGGCAATTTTTATTTTCTAAGAAACCAATTTACCTCATTAGGATTAAAAAGTATTCAGATATATCCCTTCTTTCATTTCTAATTTTATTCTTTTGAGCTTTTCTTTTTTGTATTGAAATTTTCAGATTTTATAACTGATTTTATGATTTTATTATTGGTTTTCCCCTCTCCTTCCAACTATCTTTGGATTTATCAATTTTGTTTGTCTATGTGGCAATTACTAGATTGTGCATTATTTTTTCATTATTTTGTTTTTTCTGTTTTCCTGTTTGTTTGGTATTTTCTCTAATTTTCTTAATTGGACAGTTGGTTTAACATTTTATCATTTCTTCTTAATAATGAAATCATAGAAGCTGATTAATTTACCTCTGCATCCTGAAAGTGCAGTATTTTTACTTTTTGCTATTTAGATTTTTTAATGTGATCCAGTAGAGATTATAGGAGAGTATGTGACATTTAATGACCAAATAGTAAACATTTTGTTAGATCAGCCTTTAAAATTTTTACCAATATGATGGCTGCAATGGACTTTTATTGTTGTAATTTTCATTTCCCTGGCTAATAATGAGGTTGAGTATCTTTTAATATATTTATTTTTTTTGTTTTTATCCTCTGTT